GTGAGCGCTGTGAATTGTGTAAGACTGATGAATCACAGACCTGTAACTCTGAAAAAAATACATTATATGTTAAAAAAAAAGAAGAAGAAGAAGAAGAAGAGAGTAGGAAGGGAAAAATAAAGGGGGGAAATCGGAGGGGGAGACAAACCATGAGAGACTATGGACTCTGAGAAGTAAACTGAGGGTTTTAGAGGGGAGGGGGTGGGAGGATGGGTTAGCCCAGTGATGGGTATTAAGGAGGGCACGTATTGAATGGAGCACTGGGTGTTATACGCAAACAATGAATCGTGGAACACTACATCAAAAACTAATGATGTAATGTATGGTGACTAACAAAATAAAATTTAAAAAATAACAATAATAATAATAATCCCCCCTTTCCAAATTAATATCACCCACAATTCTTGCCTCTCAACCTTTCACCAAATAAGGCAGCAATCACTTGATTGGCAAATTGGAAGCTGGGGTGAGGGGAAGGGAAAAGGATGTGAATAAGAGTAATGAATTAGCAATTCAAATGTAACCACCACGGAAAGGTCTTCTTTCATCACAAATCTCAAGTTGTTCCTTCAACCCCACAAACATACCATGTTACTCATATTATTCTGTTTTGCTTTCTCATAGGATTTTATCACTATGAATAAACTGTCCTGTCCATGGAATTGTTTACTTATATATTGTCTTACTGACCTCCTATCTCTGCCCTACTAACATGGAGAATATAATCCCCATGTGCAAAAGATCTTGTTGATTTCTTTATCTCCAGATCCCAGGACCATGCCTGGCATAGAGTGGGTGCTCGGTAAATATCTGTGGACAGAATCTTCACCTCTGCAATCCTCTGACTGAATAAAAAACCATTTTTGATTTTTTTTTAAAAAAATGGCTTTGTCACTGCCCACACTATAGGACTTCTCATCTTCTGGGATCCTAGAATTCCATCCTAGGGCAGAAATCAAAACAGATCCAAAGTAAGCAGTTGCAAAAGTAGAAGGATGCTTATAAATTGGAGTAACCTGAAATTGAGAATTAGACTGGAAGACAACTGAGAGGAACCTAATCAGGTCCAGGGTCAATGACCAGATCTCCACTTTACAGATAAGGAGACTAAGGATCAAAAGGGTCAATAAGCTTGCTCAGAGTTAGAGCCAAAAGGAAGTGATGGAACCAGGATTTGACTGTCCCAGGCAGTGACTTCGAAGTTTGTGCTCTTCCTGCTACATGAGGCTTTCATAAGGTGCAAGTCCAGTGACGTCGTGGAGGAAGAGCCATTCCTACAGGTTTGGGACCACTCACATTCGGCATGACACCCTCTCATCTTAACATCAGCATTACCTTTATGTCATCATGATGGAATGTGAAGCTGACAGATTTATCAGTGTGTGAGGAAACACATTTATCCTCTTGTTCACATATGTGTAAGAAAGGATATTTTGATATTAAAAGTCAGTTCTCCTGATAAGTTCAAAGATGCATTGAACAGGAGCATGGCATTTTCAAATGAGTCATATATCCTTATATTCAGTCATAACACTCTCCAATACACATAATAATCATTTCAAT